GGTGTTTTTTAATTTAAGTTTTAACTTGCTGTTTTTGTTGTTAATGAGGGGGAGGTGTTATTTATTATACCCTTCACCTTCGTGAGAAGGGTATATATAAGTTTGTCATTCCGTTTGTAATTTCTATAATATAATTTTCCGACCCCATAAAGTATATATATTCTGGATCCTTATAGGTAGCGGAGTTGATTAAGCTATGTCCGTCTGTCTGTCCGTCTGTGTGTTTGTTGAAATCAGTTTTTAGAGGACCCCAGATATCGGCGAGATCCGAATCTTCAATAATTCTGTTAGACATGCTTTCGAGAAGATCGCTATTTAAAATCAGCAAAATCGGTTCATAAATAACGGAGACATGAGCAAAAATCCGAGACAACCTCTGAAAATTTCATAAAAAAGACAATTTTTTTCATGCTTTGATATAAGCAACAACAACAACACTGCTTATTCATTGAGTATTTCGTTTTATATGTTTGGATGGCTGTGTGTTTCATTGCCTTGTTATACCCACCATCAAAAAAGATGGGGGGTATATTGTTTTTGTCATTCCGTTTGTAACACATTGAAATATTCGTCTAAGTCCCACAAAAGTATATATATTCTGGGTCCTTATTAGATTCTAAGACGATCTAGCCATGTCCGTCCGTCTGTCCGTCTGTCCGTCTGTCTGTCTGTCTGTCTGTTGAAAACACGATAGAGTCCAAATGGAAGCAGCTAGCGAGCTGAAATTTTGCACAGATACTTTTAGTTGATGCAGTTTGTTTGGTATTGAAAATGGGCAATATCGGTCCACAATTTCGCCTAGCCCCCATATAAGGCCCCCTTCAGAAAATGACTTTATCGCTCATAACTTGCTAAGGGAAGAACCAATAGCGGTGAGATTTGGCACAAACATGTTTCATGGGAATCAAAAGGTCTTTGTTATATTTTATAAGGATCGGTCCATAATTGACCCTACCCCCCATATAAAATCCCCTTCAGAAAATGACTTTATCGCCCATAACTGGCTAAGAGAAGCATCAATAGCGGTGAAATTCGGCACAAACATGTTCTATGGGAACTTAAATCTCTCTGTAAAATTTTATAAGGATCGGTCCATAATTGACCCTACCCCCCATATAAAGTCCCCTTCAGAAAATGACTTTATCGCCCATAACTGCCTAAGAGAAGCATCAATAGCAGTGAAATTCGGCACAAACATGTTTTATGGGAACCTAAATCTCCTTGTAAAATTTTATAAGGATCGGTCCATAATTGACCCTACCCCCCATATAAAATCCCCTTCAAAAAATGACTTTATCGCCCATAACTGGCTAAGAGAAGCATCAATAGCGGTGAAATTCGGCACAAACATGTTCTATGGGAACTTAAATCTCACTGTAAAATTTTATAAGGATCGGTCCATAATTGACCCTACCCCCATATAAAATCCCCTTCAGAAAATGACTTTATCGCTCATAACTTGCTAGGGGAAGAACCAATATCGGTGAAATTCGGCACAAACATATTTTATGGGAACCTAAATCTCTTTTTAAAATTTTATAAGGATAGGCTCATAATTGACCCTACCGCCCATATAAAGTCCCCTTCAGAAAATGACTTTATCTCCCATAACTGGCTAAGAGAAGCATCAATAGCGGTGAAATTCGGCACAAACATGTTCTATGGGAACATAAATCTCTTTGTAAAATTTTATAAGGATAGGCCCATAATTGACCCTACCCCCCATATAAAGTCCCCTTCAGAAAATGACTTTATCGCATATAACTGGATAAGAGAATCGTTAATAGCGGTGAAATTAGGCACAAACATGTTTTATGGGAACATTAATCTCTTCATATAATTTTATAAGGATCGGTCCATAATTGACCCTACCCCCCATATAAAGTCCCCTTCAGAAGATGACTTTATCGCCCATAACTGGCTAAGAAAAGTATCAATAGCGATGAAATTCGGCACAAACATGTTTTATGGGAACATAAATCTCTTTGTAAAATTTTATAAGGATAGGCCCATAATTGACCCTACCCCCCATATAAAGTCCCCTTCAGAAAATGACTTTATCGGCCATAACTGGCTAAGAGAAACATCAATAGCGGTGGAATTCCGCACAGACATGTTTTATGGGAACGTAAATTTCTTCGTAAAATTTTATAAGGATCGGTCCATACTTGACCCTACCCCCCATTTAAAGTCCCCTTCAGAAAATGACTTTATGGCCTATAACTGGCTAAGAGAAGCATCAATAGCGGTGAAATTCAGCACAAACATGTTTTATGGGAACATTAATCTCTTCATATAATTTTATAAGGATCGGTCCATAATTGACCCTACCCCCCATATAAAGTCCCCTTCAGAAGATGACTTTATCGCCCATAACTGGCTAAGAAAAGCATCAATAGCGATGAAATTCGGCACAAACATGTTTTATGGGAACATAAATCTCTTTGTAAAATTTTATAAGGATAGGCCCATAATTGACCCTACCCCCATATAAAGTACCCTTCAGAAAATGACTTTATCGCCCATAACTTTCTAAGAGAAGCATCAATAGCTGTGAAATTCGGCACAAACATGTTTTATGGGAACATAAATCTCTTCGTAGAATTTTATAAGGATCGGTCCATAATTGACCCTACCTCCTATAAGGTCCCCTTCAGAAAAGGACTTTAATGCTCATATCTACCTTAAGAAGCATATGCATAACAATAAAATTCGACATAAAAAAGTTTTATAGGAACTAAAATCATTTTCTTAAATTTTATGAGGATGTGTCCATAATTGACCCTAACCCCCTAATAAGGTCTCCTTTATACAATGACTTTAACGCTCATTACTGACTCAAAAATGTGAGTACAGCGGTAAAATTATACATAAACAAATTTCGTGCGAGCCAAAACCTCTCTATCAAATTTTATAAGGATCGGTCCTTATTGAAATCGGTCTATAATTGATTCGCTCCAGAAAATCACTTAAACGCTCATGTGTGACTCAAAAGTTCTTCCAAATTATGGTAGTTTTATAGGAACTGAAATTTTTCAACTGAATTTGATGAAGATCGGTCGATAACTATCAAACCCCCATTTTCGGCTTTCTTCAGAAAATTACTTTAAACCTCATGACTGAATTAAAAATACGAGTACAGCGACATTAGATACAAACAATTATTGAATAAACCGACAAGGATAGGTCCATAATTGACTCTACCCTCCATATAACCACTCTTACAAAAAAACAGTTTTTGGTTATAAATATTGGGTCAAACAAAATTAATATTTTTAATTCGGAATAGCACGGTCCATGCTTAAGCCCTTGGCCCTCTTCCAAATATGTCCGTGATGTTCATATTAATATCAACATATGATTCAAACTAGATCGATAATATCAAAATTTATTAATAAGGATGATTTGATGGTGGGTATATAAGATTCGGCATGGCCGAATATAACACTCTTACTTGTGTATATTGTTTTTGTTTTTTGGTGCATTCAGTTTCGTATGTTTGGGTGTCTGTTGGTTTCATTGCGTTGTGTATTTTGTTTTTGTTTTTTTTTTGTGTATTTCGTTTCGTATGTTTGAATGTCTGTTGGTTTCACTGTCTTGTGTATTTTGTTTTTTTTGTGTTTATTTCGTTTAGCGTTGTTGTTGTTCGTTTTGCTATTGCTATAATAATTATATAAACGGGAAAATGAAATAAATTGAAATTTTATAGAATTGATATTTTTTAAATACACTGTGGTGAAGGGTATATAAGATTCGGTACAGCCGAATATAGCACTCTTACTTGTTGGGTTTTCAAATTTTTAATTTCAGTTTTCATGTTCATTAAATCACTTGCGACAGATTCTAATTTATTTACTCTGTTAGTAACTGCATTCAAATCACATTTCATCGAGTTTAGTCTCTTATCTAGTTCAGTTAAGAGATCAGTTTTATTTTCATTAAATTTTTCTTGTATCATGGTTTGTATTTGTTCCCTGAGTTTATCAAAACGTTTGTCCATGAATGTCATGAATTTGAGCTGGGATCCAGTGTTGTTTAACCTTGGTGTTTTCATCACATTACCGAGAAGATAGTTTTGAAGTGCGTCTCTCATACGTTTATTCGCAGGAGTTGATATCGAAGAAGCTTTTCTGTCATCGTTATGATGTTCAAACTCTTGAATATCCATATTAGAGCGTGTTTGTATAATGTTCTCTTTTCTTTTCTATTTTGTTTTGTTTGGTTTGTAACAACTATGTAGAGAGACACCGCATGAATTGTTTTTGCTTTTTGTGTTTTATTTTCTTTTGTAGTGTTTTGTATATCAATTTGTTTTAGTTTAGATCTTTGTTTTGGTTATTATTATATTGCTTTTTGTTTGGGTTTTATATGGGTTTTTTCTCTGTTTATTTGCTAGTAATGGTACTAAAATCACAGTATAGAACACGATAAAAAATTACAAATTTTAATTACAAAGTAATTGAATATATAATTCAAAACTGTCAAAAACTGCGGAGCTTATTAAAAACACGTCTATATAGAAAAAATTGTTTAGCTGAGAAACTATAAGAGCTAGAATCTTAAAATTTTACATGAAGAACTTTGTCATTCATGTGAACATTTAGAGAATAACGGGCGGATTTTCAATGCGTGGCTTGGCACCTCCTATATGAATTAAATTCAAAATTTCGCATATCTGGTAAACTATTATATTATTAAAATTTTTCATAGATTACATTAAAATCTTAATTAACGTTCGGGAAAATTGACAAACTTGCAATAATTTGCGTGGCATCTCTCATATGTAACAAATTGTATATGTGGAAGACTATTGTAGTTAGAATCTTCAAAATCGTTAATTGATTTTTTATTTATATTGCTTTTAGGGTAGCAAAGCACACTGGGTATAGTTAGTGTAAAAATAAAACGTATATGTATATTTTCGTATGAAAATTCTATTTACTAAATACAATTTATAACCTATATATTTAATTTGAATTTAAACTTTTATTTTTTTTCAGAATATTAAACGAAGAAAAGGTTATATAAAGAATAGACCAATCGTTGTGAAAGGAATAAGGAATCGTAAATAGATCAACTTGTACACTCCAGGAATAATAAAAATACAAAGCAGTTTTTTTCACTTTGTATGTATACAATTCAATGATTCACTATTATGCATGAAATGTATATACGTTTTTTTGTAAAAGATTTAATTTTTTCTTGAGATGTAATAAAAATAATTATAATCCTATATAAATACGAGTTTTATTTATAGTTCTTGTCATAACAGAATTATTTATATTTTTGTGTTCTTTATTTTCTAAAAAAAAAGTTGCTCAAAATATTATTATTATAGAAGAATTCCGATTTAAAAGATTTTTCCCATAGTCACCGATTTCCTTATAATTTTGTAAACACGTAAAGGAAGTTCCATGAGAGTGAAAACTGACTATTTTTCATTTAAATTTTTAAAACTGTGGCAACCCTATAGCTTTAAAAGTGCTTAAAAATTTCGTAAACAGTGCCATAGGTTAGGTTAGGTTAGGTTGATAGGAGGATGTATACTACATCAAATCCGAAGAAATACACCTAGGCCACTATCGGGCCTGTTGTGCGCTCCAATTCAAGAAAAAAAAATTGTTCACTGAATGTATTATTTTTCCATGTTCAGAAACTCAGTTTCCTGGACGTAATTCCTAAGAATCTTCCAATCGGTGTTGGTTAAGAATGTTATTTCCGAAATAACATCACTTCCAAGATACTTGGATCTAACTTCGACGAATGCCTGACAATGGCAAAGAAAGTGCTCCAGAGTTTCACTGTCCTCTCCACATGCTCTACATTCATCTGAATCCGCACGTCCAATTTTCTATAGATGTGCTCGTAATACTGTGTGTCCACTGAGAATACGTACCATCATACTAACCTCAGACTTGCTCATTTTGAGAAGATTTCTCGTCTTGCTCCCATCAGGGTCACCCCATAGAATCTTTGTGGTTCTACCCACCGTTTCATTATTCCAAGAGGCCTTATGGGATTCTCTCATCCATATTTTTATACCCTCCACCACCATCAGTGGTGATAGAGGGTATATATAACTTTGTCATTCCGTGTGTAACACCAAGAAATATTCATCTGAGACCCAACAAAGTATATATATTCTTGGACCTTATGAAATTCTGAGTCGATTTAGCTATGTCCGTCCGTCCGTCTGTCTGTCTGTCTGTCTGTCTGTATAAAACATTCTCACGTTAACACGAAGCAACAAAAATTAACGAAATTCACCCAAAATATTTATTATTGTCCTAGGCAGTTTGGTATTGAAAATGAGCAAAATCGGTTCACACCGGGAAAAGTTATGAATCAAAATTTGAAACAACCTCGAAAAAAATAAGCATTTTTTACACATTCTGATGTAATTTTCTCGAAAACTGTGAATGATAATTCCATGAAAATCAGCATACATTCCTTTCTATACAAGAGCTTGATTCCCGCTGAAAATTGCCTGAATCGGTCCACAATTTCATATACCTCCAATACAAAAGTACATATTCCCGGAAAATGGGGTTTTTATTAATAACTTCCGTCACAATGTCGAAATCTTTACAAAATTTTACAAATTAAAATCTTATGTCAATAGAAATCATTCAGAGAAAAATTTTCTGGATCGGTCCATAATTGGACATAGCTCCCATACAAGGTCCCCTCCCGAAAATAACTTAAACGCACATAATTCATTTCTAAATCAAGTTATCTATATAAAACTTGGTACAAGTATTGCCCTCACATACAGAAGTATTACTTTGACATTTTTTTTTCCATCGGTCCATAATTGGTCATAGCTCCCATACAATGTCCCCTCCCGAAAATCACTTAAACGCGCATAACTCATTACTAACATAAGACATCCATATACAATTTGGTACAAGTATTACTCATGTGCACAGAAATATTATTGTGAATTTTTTTTCCGATCGGTCCATTATTGGTCATAGCTCCCATACAAGGTCCTATCCCTAAAATCACTTAAACGCGCATAACTCATTACAAAATTAAGATATCCATATAAAATTTGGTACATGTATTACTCTCACATACAGAAATATTACTGAGAAATTTTTTTTCTGATCGGTCCCATACACGGTCCCCTCCCGAAAATCACTTAAACGCACATAACTCATTAACAAATTAAGATATCTATATAAAATTTGGTACAGGTATTGCTCATATGCACAAAAATATTACTGTGAATTTTTTTTCCGATCGGTTCATAACTGGTCATAGCTCCCACTCAAGGTCCCCTCCCGAAAATCACTTAAACGTACATAACTCATTACTAAATTAAGATATCCACATAAAATTTGGTACAGGTATTGCTCACATATACAGAAATATTACTGTGACATTTTTTTCCGAGGGGTTCATAATTGGTCATAGCTCCCATACAAGGTCCCTTCCAGAAAATCACTTAAACGCGCATAACTATTACTAAATTAAGATATCCATATAAAATTTGGTACAAGTATTGCTCAAATGCACAGAAATATTACTGTGGAATTTTTTTCCTATCGGTCCATCCTTGGTCATAGCTCCCATGCAAGGTTCCCTCCCGAAAATCACATAAACGCACATAACTCATTACAAAATATTGATATCCATACATTTAGCACAAATATTGCTCTTATATACATAAATTACACTATAAAATTGTTTTACGATCGGTCCATACTTGGTCATAGCTCTCATACTAGGCCCCCTCCAGAAAATTACTTAAATGTACAATATTAATTACCAAATAATGATATAGATACAGAATTTTGAAATTTTGTTTTTATATACACAAGGTCCTCTTTCGAAAATCTCTTAAATGCACATTACTCATTACCAAATGAAGCTATTGATACAAAAATTCTATTTCAAGATTTTTGCACGATCGGTTCATAACACACATTACTTATTACTAAATTACGATATAGATACAAAATTTTACTGAAATATAGCTTTCATTTCCAGAAGTTTTGCTTAAAGAATTTTTTACGATCGGTCTATAATTGGTCATATCTCCCATACTAGGTCCTGCCCCTAAAACCGTATTTAACTAGTTGCATTATCAATTTGTGTAGAACAAAATTATATATATGTATTTTGATAATCCTTAAATCTTTCACACACATGCATACATGCAAATTAATAAAAATCGCCAAGCGTTGGTAATGTTCAATAAATCTTGGAATTGTAATAGATTTGAGCTGTTTGAATCTACGGATTTTTCTATTTAAAATATGAGAAAACTTTTTTCTACAAATATTTGATCAATTAGAAAAGTATTAATATAAAAGCAGCTGGTGGAGGGTATTGAAGATTCGGCTCAGCCGAATATAGCACTCTAACTTGTTAATTCAGCTTTTGTTGCGTCGAATGGTTTTGCGTTTGTCAGGTTAACTACATCGAGCTCCCTTCCCTTTAAAGCTATTACATTCGCCCTTTCGTTGCCGACTACTCCCGAGTGGCCTGGTACCCATATGATGTGAACCTTACCTCTGGGAGAGTATTCAGTTAAAGCTTTCTTACAATCCAATACGGTCTTAGATTTAATTCTATCACCTGATATCGCACAAATTGCCTTCTGGCTGTCGGTAAATATATTAAGCCCTGTGGGCGCCATATTTATTCTAATCCAATTTACACATTCCGTTATTGCTCGTACTTCTGCCTGGAAGCTTGTGGTATGATTAGGTAAACGGTGGTATATTTCTGTTTGTGGGTCTTCAATATAGAACCCCAGGCCCACTTTGTCCTCTAATTTAGAGCCATCCGTGTAGCAACGGATTCCTACTGGTATTTGCTCTAATGTTCCGCTTGACCAAGACATTCTATCTGGGATTAGCGTTTCAAAGTTTCCGACATATTCTGTGTCTGGTATGCGATCAGGCACGTCCGATGAATGTGTATAACCTTCCAATGTGTCCAGTATACATTGACGTGTCCTATAACCGTTTTTGGCCAGTTCGCCTAAAGTAAAGAGCCGTTCGGCCGTAAGCACCGCCTCATATCTTATATATGTTTCAATGGGTGGAATATCTAGCAACGTTTCCAGAGCCTTGGTTGAAGTAGTACACATGGCACCACTTATACCCAAGCAGCATGTACGCTGAACTCCCTGTAGTAGTTTGATATTACACTTTTTGTCCAAAGCCGTCCACCAGATTATTGAAGCATAAGCTAGAATTGGTCTAATTACACTTTTATAAAGCCAATTTGTCATAGTAGGACTAAGACCCCATTTCATGCCTATGGTTCTCCTACATATCGCCCAGCACCGATGTGCCTTGTTGATCCTATCCTCTATGTGGTGTCTCCATTTTAATTTCCGGTCAAGTATTACACCTAAGTTCTTAACTTTGTCTGTCACCGGTATCTTCTTGCCCAAGAAGCAAGGTTCAGTATATGTAGAAATTTTTGTCTTTCTTGTGAAAAGACAGATTTCCGTCTTTGCCGGGTTAACATTGAGGCCTCTCGGTTGAGCCCAGCTCAAGGCCGTATTCAGTGCCTCCTCAGCTCTTCTACACAAGTAATTTGGATCCTTTCCCTTTAAAAGTATTACGACATCGTCTGCATAGCAGACAGGACTAAGTCCTTTCTCGGTTAAGCTCCTTAGGAGGCTATTAATCGTGGTAACCCAGAGTAAAGGTGACAAAATGCCACCCTGTGGTAAACTGCGAAATACCTTTTTCCTGATAGTTATATCGTACATCTCGCAGCTTATCCATCTGTTCCTTAGCATGTAGTTGATCCAGTTACGGAGCACCCGTTCAACATAAAACTGATCTAGGGATTGGATAAGGGTATCAGTGTGCACGTTATTGAAAGCGCCTTCGATGTCAATGCATACTGCCAGTGTATACAGTTTGTTATCGAAAGATTCACCTATGTAGTGGACAACTTCATTTAAAGCGGTTTCCATCGATCGTCCATTTACATAAGCATGCTGCTTATATTTAAGGTCTTTGTATGGTATGCTGCTTTTAACCATGCTATCGACTATCCGTTCCAAGGTTTTAAGTTGGAAGGACGTAAGACTTATCGGTCGATAGGACTTAGGTGTCGCATAGCTAGGTTTCCCTGGTTTGGGTATAAATATTACCCTTGCATCCTGCCATTTAACTGGGGTATATGCCAATTTTAAGCATGCAGTGAATATCTGTGACAGATATACGGAAACCAGTCCCGCCTCCATCTGCAAAAGTGCCGGG